AAAAGAATTCAATTATTTTCAAAATTTTTAATTAAAATTATTAAAGAAACTCCAGTAATTTGAAAAAAAAATTCAAAGAAATTCGGCTTCAAGAAGAATTTAATTGGAATTTTAACAAAATTCTTCAAGAGAATTTAATTATTTCCCTAAATAATAAAATTATTCATATGATTTCTAGAATTATCGAAATTTTTGATAAAATTCTTTGCATCAATTTGATGATTTTCAATACAATAATTTTAAAATTGAAAATATTTAAAAAGAATCGGTTTTAACAAAAAGAAAAAATTTATTAATTTGGTTGTTAATACTTTTATTTATTATTAATATTTATTTTGGCTTTCTCTAAACTTTTTCCGTCTATTTTTTTAAATTGAGGTAAAATTAATTTTTTCTCACTTTAAAAAAATAGAGGCGAAAATAATATTTTCTATTTTGCAAAAATAAAGCTAAAATAATTTTTTCTATTAAAAAAAATAGAGCAAAAAAAAATTTTTTCTTTATATAAAAAATAGAGCCAAAATAATTTTTTCTATTTTGAAAAAATAGAGGTAAAAATAATTTTTTCTACTTAAAAAAATAGAGCCAAAAAGAATATTTCTATTGAAAAAAATAGAGGCAAAAATAATTTTTTCTAATTAAAAAAAAAATAGAGCCAAAAATATTATTTCTATTTAAAAAAAATAGAGACAACAATTTTAGAGAAAGACATAATAAATATGGAGAAATAAAAATCTTACTAAACAAAATTCAAATCATAAATTATCGTCAATGGTTGAAATAATCCTTTTTTTTATCTCTCTTTTGCATTTGAAAATGGCTTTTAGTCATTACTAACTCAACATTAGGTATTCGACCACATCCGAGTTGAATCACACCAGAATAAGTTTGTTGTCAACGACCCATGCTCATATTGAAACAAAAGAGCAGATTCTGTAAAGCATGTGTATATAAAGGTATATGCACTTTTCAAAAGGAAGAGAGATATGATTCACAGTCTCTAATATGCAGCTCTTTTTGGCCTATATAGTTGTTTTTTTTCGCCTCTCTTTGCAAATATCGTATTCTCGAAATAACTCACAATTTTTCGAGTTTAATGCCACTCGCTATAACTATTACGTACAGCTTTTCAAAACCAAGTATTTTCAACTTTATACTTCCCGTTTAAAAAAAATAAAATAAAACAGAAAAATTCGGCACGCATAAAAAATGCAAGCAACAAAAAAAAATACTAAAGACAATAATAAAAAGAAATATTATTTGCAAAAAATAGAATAATTTTTTTATCTATTTTTTAAAACTAGATAAAAATTCAGTCTAATTCCAAAATTGTTGTGAATAATAATTTCTTTTAGGGGTAATTCCTAAATTTTGAAAAAAAGAATCGAAACAATGTGGTTATTATTATAATTTCGAGAATATAAGCAAAAAGACGTGTTGGTGGATTAAACTGAATTTTTTATCAGACAACCAATTATTTAATTGTAACAGATTTCAACTAGCGGCGACAATGATAAATATTAAATACATTCTTCCTACACTGAATTCTTTGTTGTCTTCAGTTGAAAACTTATCCGACATTTTGAGAAAATTTCTTCAGTTCAAAACTTTTCTCGAATATTTGAGAAAATCTCTTTAGTTCAAAACTGAAGAATAAAATTTCCCAAAAATGTCTTTAGTTCAAAATTTATCAAAAATTTGCGAAAATCTAATTGCGTCGAATTTGTAAATAAAAATAATTTTAAAAACTTACGTCTGGACTGGAAAAAAATGCCACTGTTCCTCCTTATATTAAATTCTTTACACTCCGAATTGCTGAATTCTTGACTCTTCACATGACAGGACCTAAAAAAAAAAATTTCTGTATTTTTTGTATTATTTGGATTTGAAAAAAAAAAATTTCTGTATTTGTATACTATTTGGATTGAAAACAAATTTTTTTGCTTGAGAGAAAATTATTTCCAATTGACTCTTTCACTCGATCGTAATTTTTATTTGACAAAAATGTCTATTCGGTTAATTGAAAAATCTGAATAAAAAATAATGCTGTCAAATAAAAATTTGTCTGAACAAAAATTTATTCAAATTATATGATTTACTAAGAACTTCATCAAATGAAAATTTTATAAAGTAAAAGTTTAATTAAATAAAACCTCGATCAAATAAAAATTTTAATCAAATAAAAATTAGTCTAAATAAAAATAGAATTAACAAAAAAATTTCTCTAAATAAAAATGCAACAAACTAAAAAATTGGTTAAATAAAAAGAACATGAACTGAAAATGCGATTAATTAAATTTTGAAATTAAATAAAAATTCGATCAAATAAAAATTTGTTTAATTAGTTAAATAAAAGTGGCATCAACTGAAGATTTGATTAATTAAATTTTCAAAGCTAAACTCAATTCAAAGGAAAACATCGTGTTTAAATAAAAATTGGATGGAATAAAAGTTAGATCAAATGAAAATTCAGATAAATGATAGATTTTCATCTATCGAAATAAAAATTTCATTAATTGAAAAATTGCCTAAACCTTAATTTTCAAGTAAATAAATAATTTGATAATAAAATAAAATAGTAATATAGTAAAATAAAAATTGGAAAAATGGAAAATTTAGATTAAAATTGACAATATTCTGAAAAATTGACTAATAATATTCTGAAAAATAAAAATTTTATTAATTGGAAAATTGATTAATAATATTTTAGTAAATAAAAAATAATAAATAAAAATTCTGTTAAATATAATAGATTATCTAAATAAACATTCGATTAAATGAAAGTGCGATTAAATTAAATTCGTGTCAAATGACAATTTAAATAAATAAAAATTTTCATGAAATATTCAAGAAAATAAAAATTCAATTTATTTAAAAATTGACTAATAATATTCTAGTAAATCAAAATTATATCAAATAAAAATTCCACTCATTGAAAAATTGACTAATGATATTCTGATAAAAAATTAAATCAAATACAAAATTCCATTCATTGAAAAATCGACTAATAATATTCTAGCAAATAAAAATTAAATCAAATAAAAATTCCATTAATTGAAAAATTGACTAATAATATTTTAGTAAATAAAAATTAAAACAAATAAAAATTCCCTGAAATATAACAGATCATCTAAATAAATAATTAAATAAAAGTACGAACAAATTAAATACGTGTCAAATGACGCTTTAAATAAATCAAAATTCTCATGAAAAATCGTGAAATATTCAAGAAAATAAAAATTCCACTCATTGAAAAACTGACTAATGATATTCTAATAAAAAATTAAATCAAATAGAAAATTCCATTCATTGAAAAATTGACTAATAATATTCATAGTAAAAAATTAAATCAAATAAAAATTCCCTTCATTGAAAAATTGACTAATAATAAATTCTGGTAAATAAAAATTAGACCCAATAAAAATTCCATTCATTGCAAAAATTGACTAATAATGTTCTAGTAAATAAAAATTAAACCGAATATAAATTCCGTGAAATATAACAAATTATCTAAATAAATAATTAAATTAAGTACGTGTCAAATGACAATTTAAATAAACAAAAAATTTTTCCGAAATCAATCCAAGCAAATCCAATGAGAATAGAAAATTTGCTCAAATAAAGTAAAATAAAAATTAGATGAACTGAAAATTCAACGAAATAGAATTAAAATTGAGACAATTCACTTGAACAGAATAAAAATTGAGAAAATCCAGTTAAAATAGAATTAAAATTGAGAAAAATTACTAATTCACAAAAAAAAATTAATTTCCTCCCGGAAATCGTGAATTAAGAAGAGTAATTACTCTTCAGAGAAAAAGAAAAAGAGAGAGAGAGAAAAACAAGAAGACGGAAAGAAGAAAGCGCGAGAGAATAAAAACAAATCTTCTTTGGTATCAAGAGAAAATTTGCGTAAGACTGTCTCATTCAAAATACCACGATTGATAAAAACGATGACAAAAATTTTTTTTCTCAACAAAGAGGCCTTTAGGGTTTCATCTCACAAGATGACGAGTTAGAAAGAAATTCTTTTCTTCCACCAGCCTATGGAGGTCCTTTCGAGTATTCTTTATATATTATATTTATATATATATGTATATATACTTTGATACCAAGTGTATATGAGAAGCAAAAAGAGGTAGTTGATGATCAAGTTGAAATAGTCCTCTGCGTACGGTTTTGTATAGGTGGTGGGAGGCCTCGATAAAAGTCAGAGTCAGACTGATTGTGAGTCAGAGTTGCGGTGGACTCCGGGTCAGTACAAGAGAGAGGCGCGTTTCACCTTTTTCCCGCTCCAAAGTCGCACGCGTCGATCACGTTTTTTGCTCTTCCTTCTTCCTTCCTTCCTTCGATTGCACTTTAGATCTTTTTTTCCATTCTAGAAAAAAAAATCTATTTTCAAGACAAAAAAAAAGAAAAGAGAAGAAAATAGAAAAAGAAGAAAGGAAAAAAACAAAGAAATCGTTGTAAATCCTTTTTTTAAGTGCGTTAAATTTTCGGTGCCTTCTTTTTATACTATTTTCCAAGTAACTATTTCGTATATATACAAGTTCACTTTCGTGTCTTTGAAATGAAACTTAAGGAATCGATAGTGCCGTGGCAACGATGTTAGTCCCGACTTGGTAAAACGGAAGTGCAACGAGGAAAGGTTCGAGCTTTCAAAAACACTGAGACCAACCCCCTGTTCTCTCCCCCCCCCCCCTCTCTCTATCGCTCTAAAGTGTTAGTGAAAGGCGAAAGAAAAGGAAGAATAGCAAAGAAGACAAAAACGAGGAAAAGCGGGAAAAAGACACAAACACACACACACTCACCGAGGAGAGAAAAATTCAAAGAAGGTTTTTTTTATAAATACAAAAAAGAAAGTGAAAAAGCTATAATAAAATTCAAACGGGAATTAAAAATTAGAGCGAAATAAGAAATAGAAAAAGAAATAAAAAATTCGAAATTTATTTCAAACTATTTTCAAAAAAAATTTCGCTTTAATAAAAGGGAAATAAGAATTAAAAAAGCGAAATAAGAAAGAAGTCAAAATAAAAATTAAACGGAATAAGAATTAAAGAATAAAAATTAAAAAGCAGAATAACTAAAGAACAAACGGAAAATAAGGGAAGAAACGAGAGGAAACTATACCGAACTCTTCAAAAATCCAGACACTCCGGGCATTGTTCTCTCTTCTCACAGAGAAAAAGTGATACCGGAAGTCGAAGATATCCAGAAACTTACGAAGTCGACCTTCGTTGAGCTTAATTGAGAATTTTTGTGCATGTGTGCCTCTTTTGTGTCTGTGTGTATAAGTGACGATCCAATGTTCGGAATGGAACACGATTGAACTGTGGCTGACATGACCGGAAGTTTTTAGTGAGATTCAGGTCGAGATTAATCGGTCTTTATTAGTTTACATCCGTTTCTCAATTTTTCATCTCTTCTTTCCCTTATTTTTTTTTTTTTTTTTGCAAATTTCGAGCTTCCCCACCCTTCAATTTATCATCAAATTATTCACCTTTAATTTTTCGGAGTGATTCTCTAGTGGAGAAAAAAGAAATTGAGTAGAAAAAAGAGAAGACACAATGTCGAGAAGGGAGCTTTTAACGACAACTGCCGGAAGTCTTTTGCTTCTACTTCTTGTTCTTTGCGCAAAAGCTGACAATTATCATTCCGATGTTTCCCAAACGAGAGCAATGGTACGTTATCTTCACTCTTCTTTTTTTTCTTTGGGATCTAAAAATAAAAATTTGAAATTAGAAATAGAAAAAAAGGGGTTTTTTAATTTTTTTTTATGCAATGTGAGCGAAAAATATTTGATCGTTTCAGTGACAAAAAATTAGAGAAATAATAACAGTTAGAAAATTAAATGGAAAATAAATATTTAATAAAATAAAATAGAAACAAAATAGAAATGAAATAGAATTGAAATAAAATAAAATATGTATAATAAATGAAATAGAAAATAGAAATTGAATAAAATAAAATAGAAATAGAATAGAAATGAAATAGAATTAAAATAAAATATAATAAATGAAATGGAAATAGAAATTGAATAAAATACAGAAATAAAACAAAGTAAAAAATAGTAATAAAATGGAAAAAAATCTCTAACAGTGAAATTTCACATTGGCGAAGTTCACAACGTTTATTATCAACAAATTATAAGAAAAAATATTTTTCTTAAATTTTTATAATTTTTCGCTTGTAAACTATTTTAGAATTATTTTTTATCAATTATTTTAAATAGAAAAATTTTATTGTTTTCCTTGTGAAAAATATTTTTTCTATATTAATCGTTTATTATAAACGTTGTTAATTTCACTCAAAGAAATAAAAATTAATATTGTATCAAAAAAATACTTCCTATTAAAATAAAAGTAACAAAATTAATTCTCCAGTGGCACAAATATTTTAACAGAATTAGAAAATAGACAAAAAATAGAAAATAGAAAATAGCAATAGAATAAAATAATAAAAGTAAAATAAAAAAAAAAAAACTACAAAAAATTCTAAAAAGAATGACAAATTATTTCTTCAGTAACAAAAATATTATCAAATAAAACTAAATTCTCAATCAGCAAATATAAAACTAAATTCTTAATTAGCAAATAAAAAAATAAATTCTCAATTATAGCAAATATAGAGTAAAATTTTCAAAAAAAAAAGTAAATCATGTAAATTAGTTTACCAAAAAAGAAAGAAAACAAGAAAAAAAGAACAAAAATTTGCAAAAGAATTGGCATTTTAATTTACTTTTAATTGAAAAGTCATTGTCAGAAGCCGATCTTTATTGTCGAGCACGTTTTTCCTTAAAATAAAGGAATACTTTGTGCTTCTGACATTTACTGTAAAATCAATTGTTCTCCGGGCAAAAAAAACCGGTTTGCCATTAGTGACATAATTGTGATGGAATTGTGACGCCATGTAAAGTTCAGCTTCACTTGATGACCTTCAATTTCAGTAATGTTTTTTTTTTGTACAAACAACGCAAACTAATCAAAGAAGTTTTTTTTAATTGAAAGAAAAACATTAATTTCATATATCTACTTAAACTAATAAATAATAATTGTTTTCCAATATTGAAAAGAACAAAATTGCACTAGTGTTGATTCTTGTCTTGAATAAAGACTTTACTTATTTGACATAATACTATTAAGATAATTGGCAATAATGACAGTTATAACTGAAAGAGAAGAGTAAATAGTATTTTATTTCTTGAAATTATTTAATAAAATTTGTAAAAATTCATATTTAATTTCCATTTTTTTTAATTCTCTTCAATTGAATTTTTCTATCACTTACACTTTTTTCTAGAAGGGACAAATAGTTTATTCCTATTTTTACTTTGACCTTAAGTAACTGATAATTATCAACAAAATTGATTTTTACTTTGCAACATTCTGTAATAATTTCAATATTCACTTAAACTTGAAAAGATAATATAAAACAATATAAAATAATATAAAATAAATAAATATATAAATAAATAATAAATATTAATAATAAAACACACAAAATTAAATAAATAACTAAATAAAAAGTGAACTTGATAACATTAACTCAAGACTTCAAACATTCGACACCCGGAATAAAAATATATTTTACTCAGAGCCTACCAAACTTTATTTGTTTCAAATAAATTTCATTAGGTTCAAATTAAATTTTTTCTGTTCAAATAAAAATTTGTTTTTTTAGCCACAAATTTCTTTCGTGTCGAATTTATTTGTTTCAAATATATTTTATTTAAATAAATAAATAAAATAAATATAGCAAATGAAAATTTGCTTTTTTCAACACAAATTTCACTTGCGTCGAATTTATTCGTTTCAAATAAATTTTATTCGGTTTAAATAAAAATTTGTATTTTTTTTCCACACAAATTTCATTCGTGTCGAATTTATTTGTCTCAAATAAAGTTTATTTGATTGAAATTAAATTTTATTCGGTTCAAATAAAAATTTTTTTAAACAAATTTTATTCGTGTCGAATTTATTATATTCAAATAAATTTTATTTGGTTTAAATTAAATTTTATTCGGTTCAAACAAAAAAAAAATTTTGTTCGTCACAAATTTCTTTCGTGTCGAATAAAACTTTAATTTAAAACAAGGAAATAATTTAGTAGATTCTGAGAAAAAAATACTCTTATCTAACTCAAATACTTAAATTATACTTTTTTCTGGGTGTAAATTAATTTTATATCGTTTAAATCTATATTTTTATTTGTTGAAATTTTCTGTATTCTTTCATTTTGACTTCTTTGATTAGTTTTCGATACTGTACATATTGAAACGGTTCGTTTATACAAATATTATTTTACTTACTATGCAGTCGATGCAATATACGGAATGGATGTGTTTAGCGTCACAAAACGTATATGTCGCATTAAAATTTTTGAGACAATGCATTGAGACGATTCTTGGTGTAAAACTTGACACAAGTATTTTAAAAACAACAGTTTTTTGTTCTCCATCATCCATGAAAAGTGATTTGTTTCCTAAAAGCAGAAAAAAAGGAAAAATTAGTATTATTTTTATAACACACAAACGCACATTAAAATTAATAATAGAATAAATATATTTCAATAATAGTTTTAATTTCGTCAATTAAATAATAATAATAATGATTCTATCACTCGGTTTTCAAAGTAATTAATTCGTCAATTAAACTTTTAATAAAAGGCAAAAGAAAAAAAAAGAAAAAACTTTTTCTAAAAAAATTAAAGACATTCCATAAAACAAAAAGAAAATTTCCTAAAGTTCTGAACGTTCAAATGAACAAAATTTATTTATTTCTTTTTCAAAATTCGAATTTTTATTCCAATAATTATTACTTTTTGTATTAAAAAACATAAATTACACTGATTCTATAAGTATTTAATTTTGTTTTTGCTTTCTATCAATCAATTATTTTTGAAAATATTCACAATGGCAAAAAAATTTGTTCATTTGAATATTCAGAACTTGAGGATCATAAAAAGAAAATAACATTTCATGAAACAAAAAATAAAAAAACTAGCACAGAAAAATTTACTTTCCATTCAAAATTTATAGATTATTTTTCAAAACAATAGTGGAAAATATTTTCAAATAAAATAATAAAACAATAACAATTTTACTTGCTTAATTACAAGTAATAATTGTTTTAACAATAAAATTTGTTTTTCTTTTCGTCAAAGAAATTTTGTTGTGAATTTAAAAAGCAGAAATGTTGATGTTTTACTGAAAACAGTTTATACGAAAATCAAAACAAATTTTTTTTTTTTGCTTGTAAATAATTAAATCGAATTTAAACAATTATCCCTTCTAAAATATTTTAATTAACTCTTCTAATTTTTTATTTAAGGATAATATTCTAAAATACTATTTTTTTATTATAAATTACTATTATTACTATTTAAAAAAATCGTCCACCAAAATAGTATTAAAAATACAGAAAATTAACGATAATATTCTAAAAAACAATTATTTATTAAATAATAATTATAAATTTCAAAGTATTATTATTTAAAAAAAAATTCGTACTACAAAAAAATCATTAACATTTCATCTGTGTGATTCACGTTTATAGAATATACATATGGCACACGTATATATTTATTCTAGAAACAGGAATAGGTATACGATGAGATTATAAATTTGATCGTATCACACACTGAATAACCTTTAAAAAATTCAATAAAGAAAAAAAAACGATACACAGTCAATCTTTTAGTTCTCGCGGTATAATTAAAATTAAATTCACATACTGTAATTTATAGAAAAAAAAATATTTTTTTTAATCCAATGATTTCATAATAAATCTACTGCTTAATTGGATAAAATCAGCAATAATAAAAATATGTATATGAACAAAAAAAAAGTTTTTAACATTGCGAGTAGAAAAAGGAAGTCTTTCACTTTTTAGTCAGACCCCTAGAGCAGTACACTGCAAGTGGAAGTATTCGAAATATAGTCAGACATTGAACTTCTAAAATTCGTGTATTTCAAAGACCTTAGAATTTTTTTTTATGAGGTAATTAATAAATTACCTTTGAATTATAATTTTTAAATTATAATTAATATTGATATTCAACATTAATTACATTGGTTCTAAAAATTTAATAAAATTCTTCGAAATAATTCAATTATTTTCAAAAAAATTTAATAAAATTCCTTGCCAGAATTCAATTATTTTCAAAAATAATAAAATTCTTACTAATAATTCAATTATTTTCAAAAATTTTAATAAAATTTTTCGAAGTTAAAAAAAAGATTAGAATAAAATTCTTGATTAGAATGTAATTATTTTTAATACAATTTGCAAAAATTCAATTATATTCAAAAATAGTAAAATTTTTCACAGGAATTCAATTATTTTCAATGTAATTTTAATAAATCGAAGAAATTCAATTATTTTAAAAAATTGTAATAAAATTTTTTTAAATTCAAAAAGAAATTTTCATAAAATTCTTTATAAGAATTAATTTATTTTCAATATACAATTTTAATTAAGTTCCTCGAAAATATTTAATTATTTTCAATACAATTTTAATTAAGTTCCTCGAAAATAGGTATTTTATTATTTTCAAAAACTTTAATAAAATTCTTTGCAAGAATTCAATTTTTTTTAGAAATAATAAAATTTTTCTACAGAATTTAATTATTTTTAAAAATAATTAAATTCTTCGCAGGAATTCAATTATTTCAAAAATTTTA